TGAAAATTGGTATGTGTTGCTTAGCACGAATCATTAAGGAGTAGGAGAAAAGACTGGTCGGCTCGGAGTCAGAATATTGTTTCCGGATAGGACAATATGTCTTCCTGCGGACTACCATGTTAAAAATCCGGCTCAACTCTATCCCATGCTCGATGGAAATATCGAGTACATCATATCGCATTAAACAAAAATGGAAAAGGTAGATAAAAATTCCTTGTTTTATGTCATGATAACACAGGCACTTGTCTCTGAAAAAAATACTTGTATACTTTAATTATATTAGTACATGTATATAAGGGGTTTTTTTCAGAGACAAGTGCCTGTGCATTATAAATTTATTTTACACTGATTCTCATAACAAATACATCAAAGATGAAAACATCATTATACTGGACTTTATTTCGACCATACATTTGTTGAGTTTCGTGGAATGATATTTCAACAGACAGTCGGTATTCTAAAGGGTTCTAACTGTGCATCACTACTGGCCGACTTGATTTTGTTAGCATATGGAGCAGAATTCATACAGGACAAATTCAACAAATTCGTGATGGTGACCGTAAAACTTATTTATGTATTTTCGTTTTCGGGTGTTCTTCTTCATAACTCAAAATAGTAAAGTTAAAGAGCATAAAAGATTAAGGTTTCGTGTCACTCGTTACGTGTTTTATTCTTTTTCAAAGAGCAGAAAACAGCCGAAGGCCACCAATGGGTCTTCAACACAGCGAGAAAATCCGGTACCCTGAGGCGGGCTTCAGCTTCAATCCAACGTGTTAAGTGTATATTTACACGTTGCATGACAACGGAACGTCACCATCTAAAAATGGATAATTAACAATATGAAATGAAAAATCATCTATTTTATTGTAAATTTTGGTATTAAGCTTCCCGTGAAAGATATAGATATCAAGATCCAGGAACGGGCAGTGTTCATTGTTAGTATTAGCTTTATTTAAAGTCAGTTCATCAGCATAAATCTCTTTAGTGTACATACTAAAGTCGTCATTATTCAGAGCCAAAATATCATCCAAATATCTAAAAGTGTTATTAAACTTTTGTATCAGATGTTGTTTCGATGGGTCTTTGATGATTTTAGTCATACATTGTAACTCATAACAATACAGAAACAGGTTCGCAATAAGTGGTGCACAGTTAGTCCCCATTGGAATTCCGATAACTTGACGATATACGGAATCTCCATAACGAACAAAAATGTTCTCTAGTAAAAATTCAAGTGCAGTTATCGTATCAAAGCAGGTCCAATTGACATAGTTCTTTTGTTTGTTGTAACTAAAAAATGACCTAAAAGAGTTTGAACATATATATTCGCATTCTGACTTTTAAAATGCCCATTTAATTAGTTGTGTGAATGTTTTCTTAATGCGATTATGAGGCGAAGTGGTATATAGAGTAGAAAAACCAAAACTTTGAACAGATTCGAAATCACCAATATAAGCATGCAATTTATCATGTACTTCCAACGAATTTTTTACACTCCAAAAGTAATTAATCCAACTATTTTCAAAGGCCTTATTTGAACAATTTATTACCAGGTTTTGTGCCAAGTGTACTAGTAAGTAGAATAGACAGTTTATTAGTGGAACAATGGCTCGAAGACGAAATAAATCTATATTTGTAAGGTGTTTTGTGCAGCTTCGTAAGCCAGTACATAGTTGGAACTTTCATTGTATATGGTTCTGCTTATAAAGAGGTAGCTAAAAGTTTATGTTTGTTACAGATGTCATTTTCCGAAAATGGAGTTTATTGGAATGTAGGTGAATTCGTGATTTCCTTTTGCAGAACCTCAATGTAAAATTTACGTCAAACAATAATGATATTATTGGCAGCCTTATCAGCCGGGACAAAAACAAATTTCTTGGCGAGTTCTTTTAGCTTATGTTTGATACGAGAAGTAGGGCTATTATTGTTGTTGTTAGGAGTAAAATGTTCTTTAAAATGTTTAAATACGAATATCAACTATGTTCATTACTGAATTAAAAAAAGAATCTAAGGATTTTTGTCAACTTTTTCTCGTTTTATCCATTTCGTGCAGTACGTACGGAGTGAGTCGTGGATGATGTTACGACACTCATTCCAATTAATAATTGACGTGGGGAGGTGGGCGATATTTAGGTCCTTTACTGAGGAATGATTTCAACTCTCGGTCATGGACGATGTTAAGGTCTCCTGTTATAAAATGGGAACTGGGGCCATAAATATATTCGGAATTACTGCAATTTCATGACGACAGTGTATTGTCACTGATATTAACATCTTTACACACTTCGCTATAAACACATATTTCCGGATAGATTTTTTGTAAACATAACAAGGAATCAGCAAATCGTATATGTCATTACCGACCTGATGAATGAACTACCATACCATTAGCCAACAATTTTAAAAGGCAAATATTTTAACATCGACAAAAAAGTCGATTTTGTTAATTTCACTCGTAATTGTTAAAAGTAGCAAATATGTATCAAAAAAGAGAGGCGAAAGATACCAGAGGGACACTCAAACTCATAAGTCGAAAATAAAGTGACAACGCAATGGCTAAAACAAAAAGACAAACAGACAAACAATAGTACACAAAACACAACATAGAAACCTAAAGACTGACCAACATATGCGGTGTACTTGTTAGTATACCACTCTCTTTATTTGTTTCACTTTGATAATCAGATGCTGACAAACTGGCAATGGAATATATGGGGATTGAAGCAGCAACTATTGATGCATCGCAGTTTATTCCACAATACAACTGTGTGGAGCAATGGAGACATTAATAGAATATTGAAGGTTTCATTTTAGGTCTGTCTTTTGTTATGTTGTGATTGTCTTTTCATTTTTTTTTTTTTTTGTGTATGTTTCTTTCTAACCAATTAAGATATTACCTGCATCACGACTTTGATATATGAATAAGTTCCTTGTTTCGTTTTCATAATTGGTCTGATAACTAATCCTTTTGAAACAGATTTATACAGCTGGTTTCAGTGAGAAATATAAACACTATACAATGGGACAGAGAGTTTTTTACTGCTGAGAGATAGCAATTTTACGATTGGAAAGTTGAAATCATCACGGTTGCAATAGAGTATAGATTGACGTCGTCATTTCTGTCTATACCGAGGAAGAGATCAAGATATGAAGCAGACATCCCAGCTTCTGTAGCATCCTCAATTTCAGGTTCATTGGGATATATGAGATGTAAGCACTATTTGACATGTTGTTTATTGAGGTTCAGAATATCATCAATAATCTGTAAGTGAAATTAAAGAACTTTGCAATTTGTTTTTTCCTTGTGTCATTAAGAAGGTTTTGTATGCGTTTTGCTTCATATAAGCACAACAACATGTCGGTCAGTAGAAGTGCATAATTAGTACCCATTGGAATATCGACTGTCTGCTGTTATCATTCAACCAAACTAAACAAATATGTTGTCGATCAAAACGTCCAGCATTATGGTGATTTCACTTTCGGTGTATTTGTTGTGGGAATAGGTGGGAATAGGTGTGGTCGATCACAAAGTCAGGTTTTTTTATCACCTAAATCAAGCAACTTGTATCTAAGTTTCCACATTTGGTAGAAAAGCTCTATGTAATTAGATGATGCAGTCGATCGTTCAATTGAGCAAGAACATAGTAATATAATGCGTATAAAAATCGAAGTGTTGTGGTATACATTTTTTTTAATTACAAAATTTTAAAGATTGTGATTGAAGATTTTGGATTATATCTTCAGAAATTTAAAAATCTACATTTGATCGACACCGCTGGCTGAATAGTCCTCATCACAATAGTTATGAATTCCATCTTTTACTGTCGAAACAGTAATAGTAGTAAGAAATTTAAATGTCGAAAATCGTGACGACCCGGCTATACATTGATGTGTCAACCCGTGATCCAATAGGAAAATACACAACGAAACTATAAATCTTTAATAATTCCGAATAGTAAAAAATAAATGTCGATCTAATATGAATTTGATAGTCGCTAACTAAATATTTTTATTTTCCAACTTCGGTATTCTGCTTCTTTCTAATATTATGATGTTTATGGAATAATATTGTTCTGATCTATCTTGCCGCTTTGACGTTTATTATGAAGATTTGTATCATTCCTTTTTAAAATGTATAAAATATTCAGACAAACGAAGTAAACTTTTAGAAAATCTTAGCTGGCGCCCAAATAACTGTCCATTATATATAAAACTATAAACCTCGTTTTACCTTATGTGTTAGATAGTAAATCATGACCACGCCCATGTCATCATCTAAGTTCGGCTTTTTTGTTGGGTTTTTTTCTTTCTTTTTCTTCTTCGTTTCATAAATTATAATTTTCTGTCCATTTGATAAAAATGTTGAAATTGTATTTATGCAAATAAAATATTTTTAACTTTTCTTTCATTGTAATATATTTAATCTTTACATAATTTATATCACCAAGTTAGTTAATGCTTCATAGAAAGATATATTGTTTATTCATTAAGGAACCTGCGACAATCTTTAACTTGATGGAGAAAAAATGAAAAATTGTTATTATGTTTCGATCTAAAAATATTATTTATCTTTAACGTAAAAGACATCAAGTTAAGACCAAAGAGTTATTACTTTCATAATATGTGTTATAGTTGTTGTAAAAATTCTTCGTTATTTCGGGGCCTTTTACAGCTGACTATGCGGTATGGGCTTTGCTAATTGTTGAAGGCCGTACGGTGGCCTATAGTTGTTAATTTCTGTGTCATTTCGTCGCTTGTGGAGATTTGTCTCATTGGAAATCATACCACATCTTCTTATTTTTATATTGTGGGAAAATATAAATCTGTTCAAACTATATTATCACACTAAAATAGGACAAAGGACAAGAGAAAATAATACTAATGAGCCACGATTACAATTTAGTTCACCAGACGCTCGTTTCGTCTACAACATCCTTCGTATTTCGAAAAAAAATCAGTTTTGTAAACATTTAATCTATAATTATGACCATATCAATGATAATTCATTTCAACACTAGTTTGTCTAAAAAAATCTATCTCATGTACTTTTAATCAGTTATGGTTCAAATGAATGTGTTTAGAAATAAATAGGGTCAAATCAAAACATATCATATCAGCTGTAAAATTAGTATTCAATACTTTGAATTAACACTTGTTTGAAATTCCTCAATTTCTTATAGTTTTTCTCATCTAAAATACATTTAACGTTTCAAAAAATAATATTTATGTAAAGTAATACTGGGAAAAATAACATTATTTAATATCAAAAACTTTCCTACGACAGTACGAACTGCATCTGTTTGCATCAATTATGTCTTTTTATGTGCTTAGAAGGAGGTCCGTCATCCTGCTTAAAGCTTTGAGATAGGGATTCTCCCTGTACTCGTCACGGACTTCATAGCTGTCAGGAAATTCGACTGTTGGGCGGCAATAAACGAACGCACAGTTTTCAGTAGCAAACCAAACTTTCAGTCTTTGTAATATTTTCAGTGCCCAAATTTGAATGTAAGCTGTTCTGTTTCTTAATGAATAGGCTAGATTGTATCTCATTAGTCGTAATGCTAGTTCATGACTTGGTGTATAACAGCTATGAAATACCATTTGGTCATTTAGAAGACCATACGACAGCTGTGGGTCAAGTTCAAAGAATAAAGCATTTTTCAGCATATAAGATGTAATGATTTCGGGACTGCAATATGATGCTGAATCACAGAAACTCCGCAACGACTTTGTCAATTTATATGCATCTTTTACTTCGGTCATAAGCCGCATTAATATACATCTCTCTACATTTAGGAACGACAAACGAGCAAAGTCGCTATTTCGGCAAATTGCATGCCATTGGTATTCCCTATGGGTAATAAAGTTTGTAACCCGAGAGGGAATCAAGTTTTGAATTACGTCAGATATGTGTTGTTTAACTATAACAGGTACTAAATCAATATTTATGGTCAGATCTCGTGCTTCCATTCCTATCCATTTTAATCGAAGCGGTGATGTGAGTGAGCTCCCCACGACAAGGGTTGTTTGTATCCATTCTACAGATTTTGCAATTGGAAGAAAATTCCAATAAAACGGTGAATCTTTCCAAAAATCATTCGAATTAAGTACTGAATAAATGTGGGAATTAAATGTTTCATAGATATTCCAGCTTAATGATTTCCCATTATGCACAATGTCTGTAATATCTTCTTTTTTCACTTTCATATCTTTACGGATATCTTTCAATGCCACTTCATTTGCTTGCTCAAAGGTATCAAAGTAAAAACGAGGACTTAGAGGGATTAGATGAAACTGAAAGTCAAATTCATCGAGTGGTAGAATTTTTGTTTCCTCACTTATACTTCCTGCTAATTCTATTTTCGATTGAAAATTTGTATCGATTTTGGTTAAGTGTTCTGATATCTTATTGACTAGTTTCGTGACATCTACAAAGATCGTGCTTTCAATGTTATTCATGACTAATGGTCCAAGGTTATGATCATGCATTAAAAAATCTACTAGTTCTGCACCTTTCAAGTCTTCCCTCTTTACATCTGTCGATTCACAATGCACAGATTTTCTCTCATATAATATGGTACATCCATTTGCATCTTCCAGTGTCTTGCAACAAGAATAATGCAGTATATTTTCTTGTTGTGGTTCTTTATTACATGTCCATTTAAAATGCTGGTCCATCAAGATTGCATTTGTTAATATGTTTGAGGAATCATAATCCAAAAGTGATTTCCCTTGGTTATCAATAACATTCATTTCAAATCCAGAAACACCCATGTAATTCAATGCTGCGGTGTTGTTTTCGAATAAAGACAGGTGTTGGACACGTCTTCCATAATTATCTTGTACATTTAAATCTTTCTTATCCATGTTTTTATATAACAATTTTAAAGCAGCCAATTCCTCCTCCTCATTTTTTATCTTGTAATTTCTCGATGGATGTAAATGGAATAATGTAGACAAGTCCTACCAAATGCATCTTTGACAAATGGTCGACATCCTACATTCAAAAGAAACTTCAACAAACGTGCAAATCTAAACCAACTTGCATAATGCAAAATTGTACGACCATGTAAATCGGATTGGTAAAGGTCAAGACCATATTTAGATAATATTTCAACCTTGGTTATAATGTCTGTTTGCATTTTCTCTTTGTCCATTCGGTATATGGAATCAGAAAGGCCGCGAACCAACAATCCGTGTATTGGAGGAAGCGGTAATGCACAATTTGATGATAATTTGACCTTAGGAGAACATTTTTTCATGAAAATGTTGAGATCTTCAGGTGTCAATAGTAACAACAAATTATGAAACGCTGTAAAGATTCCTTCCGGCTCCGATATATTTATGTCTGCATTATGTTTAACTAACAACAGCACTATATCGAGACTCACATCACTTCCCTGTAGAAATAGAGAGTACAACAAAGGTGTAAAGTCATCATCATCTCTACAATTTGCATCTGCTCCGACTGACAAAAACAAAGATAGTAGAGGAAGATTAGCTGTCTCCATGGCCCAAAGTAAAGGTCGATGTTCACTGTCGCCATTTGGGTCGGTATTATACGTTTGTATCAGATCCCCAGCAAATTCTATGATATCGGTTTTTGAAATATTACCAAGTTCATCACTTCCTCGAAGTCGACAAAGTTTACACAGGAAATGATTTCTGTAAGTTTTTACGTTCTCACTTGTCACATTTTTTGTCATTTCTAACCAGCTTCTGATTTTATGGAATTGATAGATTGGTTGGAGAAAGCCTAATGTGAAGTATTTTCTGTTCTGTTCTGGATCTGCATAGGGAATAATTTTTTGCAGAGGACTTTGTATACCTTCGAACAAATTAATTTCAGATGCATACGGTAAGATTAAGTTCCATATTTCAGGTACAACTTTCTGATCAGCAGCCATATGCAGGACAGTTTTATAGCCTTTTATTATTGAGTTAACTAGTTTTTCTTTAGTGTTGTAATTTGATGATAGAAGTATTTCTTTGCATCCCTTGGTGTCGTTTCGAGTAACTAAGGAGGCGAATGCTTGTATGTCTCTCTTTGTCGACATAGTTCTAGTTCAGTGAAGGAAAGTTAAAACCTAAAATAATGCAAATAAGATTAAATAAATTCCTTGTCGTCGTTTGTTCTTTTGTATTATTTAAAGTGTTTCACTGGAAATTGCAGTTGCAAATCAGCATTTTTGGAAATGAGGCTTGTTTAGGGGGGGGTACCAATATCCCATATCCCATTAAGTTTTTGTCCCAATATCCCATATCCCTGTAATGTTTACCCCTAATATCCCAATAATTTTTTTTTACAAATATCCCGTATCCCTAAAACTATTTTGAAATATCCCAAAAATCATTAATTCATTCCCAAACCAATTTTTGTATACAACATTCGTAAATACATGTTGTGCGTTGTAGTATGGATGTCAAGGATGTGGACTTTTTCACAGAGAAAAGTTAATCATTCAGAATTATCCAGAGACCTTTAAATTTTAATCTTCATGTCTCTGGAATAACCAATATATAACTAAGCGTTTGTAACAAATAAAAAGTTACTGTAGAGATAAGCGTGAGCCACCAAATGTGAGCTCATCAAAGGCACGTAGCTAAGAGAATCGCCCAATGTGAACTCACAGATGACACGACGTTTTAATAGTAATGATAAGAAGCAAAAAATCCAATTCTACAATAAAAAAAAAAGAATATAATATGCAGCAAAGAGCTGCACATGCAAAAAAGCATGTAGTTAATCTATTAAAACGCAAATGATCAAATCAGGAATATATCCTGTTGGCGGAAGGCTTGAAATTTATACCAACGCCATCAAGCAAAAATGCAAAATGTCTATACTAATAGACTACAGTGAATTTGCTAGACAACTGCGATGTCGATATATGTTCAGTCATGAAGAAAAAAATGTGTAAGGGTTTCGCGGAACCCAGTGTCTCGCCTACTTTTGCTGTTAATCGCAGGCTCAACAAAAATGAGGAAAAACAATAATAAAAATATTCCTCTCGATACTATCTTTTGATTGTGAGAAGCTTCTGTCCAAGTTTGGTAAAAATCCAGGATAGTTTATGAATCTAATAAATGTTTTAAAAACTTTAACTGCAGACTGTATGTTATGTTAACTGGAAGAAAAACTAAGTTCATTTATAAGTAAAATACTGAAAAACAGGTACAAAATTTTAACAAAATTTCCTTTTAGATACTAGCTTTTGATCATAAACACGCTTCTGTCCAAGTTTGGTACAAATCCAGGATAGTTTAAGAAAGTTATTAAAATTTTAAAAACTTTAACCACAGCGTGAATGTTATATTTCCCGGCAGAAAAACTAAGTCCATTTATAAGTAAAATAAGGGAAAAAAAATCGATTCTTTTTTTTACTAAATTAACTTCTGGATACTATCTTATGATCATAAACAAGCTTCTGTCCAAGTTTGGTAGAAATCCAGGATAGTTTAAGAAAGTTATTAAAATTTCATAAACTTTAACCACAGAGTGAATATTTATGGACGCCGCCGCCGCCGCCGACGACGACGACGCCGACGACGGAATGTAGGATCGCTATGTCTCACTTTTTCGACAAAAGTCGAAGGTTCGACAAAAATGACCTTCGTCCATTTCATAGCAATATAGGATATAAACCTGCTTCTACTTGCCATACGTCGGAAAATTATATCTATTTAACAAAGCTGGAATTATCTTTTCTAATAATTAAAAAAAAAAAACCTTACTAAGGGCGAAAGAATAGCAAGTACGCAATTTAAAATATGATGAAACAATAGTAATAAAAAAGGCAGATAACAATTCAAATTGTGTTATTTCAGACAGACTAGACTACATAACAGAAGTCACAAGACAGCTAAATACTCAACATTACTGCAAATTAGATTCATTTAAAGGGGCATTGGTTGTCAATATCATGTTCATCGATTTGACTCAAATTCTCATATTTGATTTATAGCATACTAAAACATATATCCAAATTATAAAAAGTATAAAATAAACAATTTACAAGGCATAGGCTCGATAATATTTTTCATCGTCTCTTGTGTATTTTAGTCTAGACGCCGTCTAATTAACTATCGAGTTGACCTCCGAAGACTGCCGACGGTCATATAAGCGATTTATAAACATAAATATAGATATAAATAGATAGCAAACTCGTGCAATAGGATTTGTCTAGGTCTGTTTAATTATATATGGTTAAAAATATAGGGACGATGGATTCATAATATATGATGGAACATCAAATGAAATTGCAGATTCTTTTCGTCTAGCAAATAATTATAACCCCTTATTGAAGTCCACCTATGAAATCTCAAACGACAAAATGCCGTTCTTAGATGTTCATGTAATTAAAGGTCAAAGATTTACAACACATGGCATTCTTGACCTTGAAGCACATTTTAAAGAAACAAATTATTATCTCTATCTGCATAGAAATAGCTGTCACTCACAGCATGTATTCCGAGGATTTATTAAAGGTGAAGCAATACGGCAAATTAGAAACACAAATGACCATAACAATTTAATAAACAATCTAACTAATTTCAAAGTCAAATTGTTAGATAGGGGTTATGATAACGTCGAAATAGATGATACTATTACTGATGCTTTATCAATTGACCGTACTGAATTATTACAGCAAAATAAATCGAAGGAAAAAGAAAATATTCCGTTAGTTTTGATAACTAAATATAATCCATATATATATATATATACGTAAAATAAAGAAACGGGCATTTATTACAGTTTGACGAAGATTGTGTATAAATATTCAATGCTGCACCAATAGTTGCGTATAGCAAACATAAAAGTGTTGGAGATATGCTTAGTAGATCAAAGTTGAAGACTTTATCATAAAATTGACAGTTGGACCCCTGATGATGGTAGATCTGTCATAATAACTAGACCTATTGATGAAGAATTGAAATATAAATATATCAATATATACATGAATAATTTTCATATTTGATTATACTAAAATAAAGCATCTAAAATGACCATCCCAAGCCAGAGCCTCTAATCCCAAGCTTTAACTGCCGAAACACTAAAATAGTGATCAATAGTACATGTTGGGTCCTATCATGCAATTAAGGATGCGTGATTGCATGGGTGTTTTATAATAACAAAACTCAATGAAAATCAACAAAGCACTTAAATAACTTTTTCAAGTAAATCATTTTTGGCAATTTTATCAAGTGAGAAGTAAATATTTCTGTACTTAACTTTTAATTTTCACTTTTTTTTTTTTTTTCATTTTCAAAATTCAATATCCCTAAAAATGTACCAATATCCCATATCCCATTTATTTTTAGGACAAATATCCCATATCCCTAAAATTAAAATGGCAAATATCCCGTATCCCAATATACCCTATACAAGCCTCGGAAATTGACAATTCAGAACAGAATGATTTACAGAATGATTTACAACTCTAGAACAGTAAAAGTGACGGCACCAAAATTCAAACTTGATCTGTATATTGTGGTAATAAGCATTGTGTATAAGTTTCATAACATTTGATTGAGGCAAACTTAAGTTAGAGAACGGAAACGAAAAATTTAGCAATTTTTCCATTTGTAAAGGAGCATAACTCTAGAACGGTAAAAGTGACGCCTCCAAAATTCATACTTGATCTGTATTTAGTGGTAATAAGCATTGTGTATAAGTTTCATAACATTTGGTTGAGGCAAACTAAAGTAAGAGAACGGAAACCAACTTTGGGACGTACGGACGGACGGACGGACGTACAGAAGGACACGGGTAAAACTTAATGCCCCCTCCGCTACGGCGGGAGCATAAAACAAACTTACCACATAAACTTCGTGAATTTAATGTCATTAATACATTCGTTTCACATTCTTATGACAAATATTTGTTTCCGGTATTATGTATATAGCTCAATACATAACAGGTGTCTTAGAATAATATATGTGCATAGACGTGTATCTGTAAATTTATATTGCACATGTATATTTAGATATCTTAAATACTTTGCAGCATGGCATAACTACGTTGGGGGATATTGTTACAAGGAAAGCTTTGTGTAACAATATGATGGCGAATGTAACCCTATCTTTGATGGGATGGGTCAATATGGTTTTGTTATTATAAACATATATGTTGTTTATAAATATGATTTATTGATTTAATTATACATGTTTATCATTTTGTTGCTTCTTCGTCATTTTGATAATAAATGACAGTTTTCAATTCATGCATATTGTTTGTTTGTCATTCCTTCATCCCATCAAACAGAGCAAGAATGCTAATTTTTATTAAACATGATTTTTTGGCAAACTTGGCGGTACTATACATAGCGGCTTTATTCTATGATTTTATGTTGGAAAAATGTTTAGTACAAATTTAAGTTAGTTCCTTCCCCTGTTGTTATCTGATTTCAGAAGGCGCTTCAGTTGCCGATTGAAAGTGGCAGGAAAACTTGAGAACTGAAATTATACTCCCTGGATAACTCATTTCAATAATAAATTTTTTTTTTAATCATTTTAAAATTGACATATGTTATATTAATTGGAAATATTCAACATACATTGGTAAGGCACATACATTTTTTTTTATTTTGATATGCAAGATATCAGTGTTATATTCGAATGTAACCCAATCCTTGATGGGCAAATGTAACCCCATTTTTGATGGGATGAGTCAATAAGGTTTGTCATTATAAACATATATGTTGTTTATAAATATGATTTATTAAATTATACATTTTGTTGCTTGTGTTGGCATATGATACTCAGGTTATAAGACCCTAGATTTTGACATAATTTTAAAGAACAAAGCATCCAGGTATTATATACCATAGTTTCATAAACTATGTGTGGCATATGATACCCAGGTTATACCACCAATTTTAGAATAAATTGAACAAATATAAATGCAATAAACTCCCATTACTTTATCAAATTAATAAATTTCTGAGTAAATTTCCTGGGACTTATGGCTTGCCCGTAATTATGATTTCAGAAATCTGTTAGTCTTAAAAACTAAATCATTATACACATTCAATGCAATGACTCGTGTCGAATCTCTTGGTAGAAGCTGGCGTAATGTTACCGACTGAATCCCAACTCGTGTTTTCATTGGTTGGGATAATAAAATCATCCGTAACCCAAATTCCTTTGTCGTGGCAGTTTGCTTCAATTTTTTTTTAAGATTTGAAAGAACAAACATTAAACATTCGTATATTGTACATTTATGTTTATCTAATGAATTGATTATTTGGGCAAAGTAATTAATATTTCATTAAGGTTTTCAAAAGCAATGCATATATATCAATGTAAATGACCCCCATCTTCACCCCAAATCCATGATGTCACTCCATACCAAGTTTGGAATAAAATGACAGGTGATTATAACAGTTGGTCAAACATTCTTGGGCTTTACACTGCTTGAAAGATTTATATGTTTTCTTTAAAATGAGCCATAAATGAAAATTATTAAAGGCCCAGAAGTAATTCAAAAAATAATTAGTGTAAACTCAATTAACCTAGACTCATTTTTTGAATCAATAAAATTTTATAATAAACAAGAAATAATTGTAACAGGATGCCGTCTCCCAAACAAAGCTCCCATAATTCGTCAACCCCATGGTCGCCTGACATTGGGCAAAGTCCAGTACATATTGGTTTGGTCTAGTAAAGTGATATGCATATGTGACGCCTAGGGGATTGACCCTGTATGTCAGTCAAATCTTTTTGAAATGACGAACAGGAAATAATATGGTTTAGGAGTCACTGTGGGTATCTCGACCATTTACAAGTTCTCAAACAGGAGGGGGTGGGGTAACCCCAGGGACTCCCCCTATATTTCATTTGATTTGTTTTATTGTCCCATACATGTATACATATGGTTTAGGGGTGGAGATCTCAACCATTTCCAAGTTCTCAAACAGTAGGGGGTGGGGTGACCCCAGGGGCTCCCCATATATTTCATTTGATTTGTTAAATTGTCCTATACATGAATAAATATGGTTTATGGGTGGGGATCTCTACCGTTTACAAGTTCTCAAACAGGAGGGGTGGGGTGACCCCAAGGACTCCCCCTATATTTCATTTGATTTGTTTTATTGTCCCATACATGAATATATATGATGTAAGGGTGGGGATCTCGACTGTTTACAAGTTCTCAAACAGGAGGGGTGGGGTGACTCCAGGGACTCCCCCTATATTTCATTTGATTTGTTTTATTGTCCCATACATAAATATACTAGTATATGGTTTAGGGTGGGGATCTCGACCATTTCCAAGTTCTCAAACAGTAGGGGGTGGGGTGACCCCAGGGACTCCCCATATATTTCATTTGATTTGTTATATTGTCCCATACATGAATATATATGGTTTAGGGGTGGGGATCTCGACCGTTTACAAGTTCTCAAACAGAAGGGCATGGGTGACACCAGGTACTCCCCAAAATTATTTTCATTTGATTTGTTTTATTGTCCCATACAAGTATATATATGGTTTAGGGGTGGGGGTTGCGACCGTTTACAAGATAAAAGCACATTTTCAAATTGAAGTGGGTTGGGATGACCTCCAGGGACTCATCCTATACTTTATTTGATTTGTTTTATTGTCCTTTACTCATTACTGAAGACCGCGTGTGTCTATCACTTACTGTTTTTTAGAAATAGTCATTTAAAAATTTAAAAACTAAACCCCATAGGGTTCTACAGTAAACCAATCCCTTCTTTAGGCCCCTCAAAATACCCCTAAATAGACCCCAATGCACAAACAAAAGATTGATGGCTCCGCTAGACATGTTAGTCTAACATTTTATGAAACCCTAGGTAAATCTGACAAGCGGTCCAAGTTGTCTTCTTAGACGGTTCGAGTGGATTCGGTCTGACTTGTCTTGGGGACAAGTTGTCCACATTACTCAAAACATCCCATCGACGTCGTATTCATAAAACAACAACCTTATTTGGCAAGATAAGTTGTAAAATTACCGCCAACTTAGATATATAACTTTATTTCCTCTATCATAGAGATTTGTTCTACATGAACAATATTCTTGCGCATTTTGCCATTTGAGAAATATAAACGACTTGTAATTACAGATTTTCGGCGATGAAATATTTCATACAATTGTTCTTTGACATCTTAGCCAAAAGCACAGGGGATAATAAACTACGTACATATTTCTATTGAGCACTATTTCCTATGTGCAACTTCAAATATTATGGGTTGTTCGACGATCATTTAAGGTTATTCTGGTTATATTTTTTGTATTCCAGAATTAAAAGTATGAAAATAATGTCCAATTAGTTATAAAAAATTTATCAGCCTGCTAGATTATAACAATGGCATTTTTTTCATTCGTTGGGAAGAACACAAATCTAGGGTGCTAGCATAAGGCAGCTTAACTGCCTAAAAATGCTGGACAAAACTTTTTCATCCTAGACCCCCCCCCCCCCCCCATAAAAATCAAATGGTAGCTCCCTAAGTGAATGATCATTTACACTCATGACTCACCAGCAGGCAGCATAGATGTTTAATAAACAGCTGCGCCATGAGCGCATGATACGCCCGTCGTCTTGTTTGTGAATTTTTATGCAATAATCATAAATAGTTTCTGACATACGGCGCGACATGCAAACCCCCCCCCCCCCCCCTTTTTTTTTTTACAAAAAAAACTCAATATCTCTAAAACAAAGTTTTGAATCAAAACCAAAAAGTATACAGATCTTTAGATTAATATAAGTAAGAAGTGTGTAAAATTTTAAGCAATAATCATAAATTGTTTTTGAGATACGGCGCGACATGTGAAAACCCCCCTTTTTAAAAAAAAATAAATGCCAAATGGGATTAGAGAACCACAGGTCTGCCAACTTTTAATAATGCACATGCGTAAGATTTGGCCAAAATCGTAAAGATCAAAGAGAAAAAAACAATAGATCAAAGGAAAATGCCGCCAAATAAGCATGAAAATGCGTGAGTCGTGAGACTTGGCAGCCCTGGAACCACCTCTGGAGAACCTTAACATTAATAAGTAATACTTACCAACATTTCTCTATACTAAACGCTATTTTCTATTGGAAAATTTCAGAGAGACGCTGATAAACTTATTTGGTGATACAGGTTATTTTCTTGTTTTGGCGCGAAATATTCTTACTCTTAATGCTTGACGTAACAAAATTTGTATAGAATTATATTTAACTAAAGCTCAGCGTAAATATGCAGAAGCATGACAATACATTAATGATAAAATGTGTAAATATTTCTGTAAAAGAATATAATTTTACTTTACCAGTATACTTCACTTAGAATTACATTTGAGCGCAAGAAAATCTCTTTGTGAAACGGCATAATCTCGGAGTCGAAGTTAAATATATCAACGGAAAGTTTTGCGTGTGCTTGTGTTGCTTTACATCGAACAGCTTTTCAACTAATCGGGGAATGTTTACTTGGGGCAAACATCTATTTGGGGTCAGACCTATAATCCGACAGTCCCATAATCCGACAGTCCTGTAGTCCGACAGTCCTATAATCAGACAGCCCGATTGTCCGACGCGCGGTCATCTTAAAAAATATGCCTATATAGACATGGAACGTTTATAAATTGATGTATTTTTCACACAGAAAATTATCAAAAAGGTCTGTCTGTCTGTGTGTTTGTCTGTCTGTGTGTCTGTCTTTCTCTGTGTGTGTGTGTGTGTGTGTGTGTGTGTGTGTGTGTGTGTGTGTGTGTGTGTGTGTGTGTGTGTGTGTGTGTGTGTGTGTGTGTGTGTGTGTGTGTGTGTGTGTGTGTGTGTGTGTGTGTGTGTGTGTGTGTGTGTGTGTGTGAGAGGGTGTGTGTGTGTGAGAGGGTGTGTGTGTGTGTGTGTGTGTGTGTGTGTGTCTGTCTGTCTGTGTGTCTGTGTGTGTGTATGTATGTATGTTTGTATGTATGTATGTATGTATGTATGTATGTAT